CTATTCTATTCTATTCTATTCTATTCTATTCTATTCTATTCTATTCTCTATTCTCTATTCTCTATTCTCTATTCTATTCAATTCTATTTATATGTAAAAATAGTAGAGGTGGGATACCAATCAATAGACAGAAGTACCTTCGATGACCAGGTGGAAATCCTTACGGCTCATTCCACGCGGAGAGCGAGCCGCGCAGGCGTACATCCCACCGTCCGAGGCTTGGAGCCGCTTAATGGTCAGCTGAAACAGCTCGTTGGTTTGGGAAATCCAGTAGCGGGAGTCCTCCAGGCGCAGCGTTTCGTTGTCCTTCAGCCAGGCGAGCTGAGCGGGAGGGTTGGCTTTGACACGGCAATCGAGGGTCACATCCCACTCGGCGGGGATGCCGGGGGGGTCTTCCCCAGTTAGGATGGGGGCATCTGTGGAGCGCCAGAAGATGGGTCAGCAGAGAAAACCCGGGTTTGGGCAAATGCCCTTGGTGCCACCCAACCTCTCCCTGCCAGGTGCCCTTTGCAGGACCGTTGTGTGTCAGCATAGACACCAATCTATATATATATATATGAAAGCGAAATTACCCCTCACGCATCGTCGCAAAATCTCCAGAACCATAAAGCCTACCAACTTGAAATTTGGCACTTATGTTCCTCTTGGGGCTCACTAAGAAAGGATTTTTTTTTCCAAATGACCATCAGAGCATTGGTATTTCCTATATTATTATTGTTATTGTTATTATTAACACGCTCTGATGCTAAAGAGTTGTACTCCCCCTCCCCACCTGAAAAGAAATCTGCTCCAAATACAAAACACCAGCAGAGGAGTTTCCGTTTCAGTTTCAGTTTCACAGCACCAAGCAGCTTCAGTACAGAAGAGTTGAGCTAAGCCACGCCCAGGCTCCTTGCTGTCTCCTCCTTGCTCACACAGCGAATACTGTTTCACTTTCCAAACAGCCCTCTACTCTGTCACACACTGACAGGACATTAGCCAGATGACTACTGATGGATGCTGGGAGGCAGAGGCAGAATTTTTCCCCCCCTTATTTTCCTCCCCCAAAACTAAGCCCGACCATATAGTTTCGTAGCGAAGCACGGGTATATAGAGCTAGTAGATAATAGATAATAGACACAAATAGCAAACTGAGAATTCACATTGTCCATTTTCCTACCACTGGATCCAAATGGGAATAAATTTTGGTATAAATAATTTGGAATAAATTTGGTATAAATAATTACAAAAATTAAACCTGGGAGCCAAAGTCCACCCCGCTTAAAGGGCCCAAGGTTGACAAACACTTTTCTACTCATAATTTAAATATCAATAATCTTTTTATTTTGTGGGGAGAAGGAACAGCTGGCTGGCAATCTGGCTGTGGAGAGAACCCGGCCTCCCATCCTATGGCAATGGGACCCCTCCCTCCTCGGGGCCCCACCCAACCCCACCCAGGTGACAGTAATCATAAAGTGATAATTTTGTAATGATACTTCTATTTGGTGCAAAGAAAATGCGGAGATTTTTCTATTTCTTTCTTCCTCCCTCCCTCTCTATATCCTTCCTTCCTTCCTTTTTCCTTTTCCTCCCTTCCTCCTCCTTTTTAAAAATCTCTTTTCTGCTTTTTCCTTCTACTAGTTTGGCATTAGCATTTTTCCCATTTCCGTCCTTCCTCCCTCCCTCCTCCCTCCCTCCGTTTTTTCTTCCTCCCTTCCTTCTTCCCCCTTCCTTCCTCACTCTTTCCTTCCTTCCTTCCTCCTTCCCTTTTTCCCTCCTTGCTGCCTCCCTCCTCCCTCTCTTTCTTTCCTTCCTCACTTCCTTCCTCCCTGCATCCCTCCCTTCTTCCTTCCTTCCTCCCTCCCTCCCTCCTTACTTCCTCCTCCCTCCCTGTTTTTCCTTCCTTCCCCCCTTCCTCCCCCTTCCTTCCTCCCTCCCTCCTTCCTCTCTTTCCCTCCTTCCTTCTTCCCTTTTTCCCTCCTCCCTGCCTCCCTCCCTTCCTCCCTCTTTCCCTCCTTTCTGCCTCCATCCTTCCTCCTTCTTTCCCTTTCTCACTTCCTTCCTCCCTGCATCCCTCCCTCCTTCATTCCCTCCCTGTTTTTCCTTCCTTCCTCCTTCCCTCCTTCCTGCCTCCATCCTTCCTCCTTCTTTCCCTCCTTTCTCACTTCCTTCCTCCCTGCATCCCTCCCTCCTTCCTTCCTCTTCTCTCCCTGTTTTTCTTTCCTCCCTTCCTCCCCTCCCTTCCTCCCTCTTTCCTTCCTTCCTTCCTTCCTCCTTCCCTCTTTCCTCCCTCCCTCCTCCCTCTTTCCCTCCTTTCTCACTTCCTCCCTCCCTCCCTCCCTC